CAATAATTCCTAGCTCATGCTGCATTTAATTTAGTGACTATTTGGCAGCCTTAGGCCGACATGTAATACTAGACTAGAGTTGACTTGTTTGATTGAGTAGAGACACTTATTCAGTGAATTATCACATCATCGACTTGGTATAAGATCTCGTATGAAGATCTTTAAAACACCTCTGCCTATCTTACCTATCCTTGAGAGCTCAGCTCCCCATGGGGGGTTAAGCCAAATTGTCACATGGGCAAAGTGACGTGGAGTGCAGGCCTAGGTTCACTTGCTGTGTAGCTTCCACTTAGCCTTGCTTAAAGTTTCGTTCGAAGAAGCCTAACAATAGCCCTCCCTTCTTTAAGGGTTATTTTCTTCATAGCCACTTCGAAAGCTTCCCTTTTTCAGGGGTTCTTTTTATTCATGACATTTTCAAAAGCCACATCTTATTGGGGGAGCCTTCACTTCATGAGGATGCATAGGCGAAGCTAAAAATTATCTTTAAGTCCCTTAATAATTTCTTGATCAGGTCATTTAACTTTTGATCTTCTACATTTTGGTCCTCATATTTTGACTTTTATTTCAACCACACCCCTGATAAAATGCATCCAAAGTCCTTCAACTTTTGACTCTACTACAATTTAGTCCCCAAGTTCACGTTTTTGTTCTCTTTTAGTCATTTTCTTTTCTTTTGTATTGTTCTCCTTCAATTTTGGGATTTTTCCTTATCACATGATTGTTCAAATATCTAAGACGTGATTGTTCAAATATCGTTCTTATTTATTACATAATTCTTATTACAAGAATTTCATAAACGTTTCCGCACCAAAATTTGTATCAAAACAAGGAAATTGCCTCAATCTCATGGTGATGCAGGAAGATCCGAGTCAGACGAGGTCAAGCTGTTTGATAGTATGTTAATGGCGCTGAGATACCATGAGTTGGCGGATCATTGCAAAATTGGCAAATAATCATCGAACTTTCCTAATTGGAGCCTTTTCGGACACGTTTCAGTATTTTGACCATAACTTTGGCTACGGTTGTTAGAATCACGCCCGTAACCCCAATTCGAAAAGCTCTTTTCGGCGCTCACCTCCTGGTCACCCAGCTATACTCGATGTTCATCTGTTTCAAGGTCAAATTCAGCTATATTCCCTTCCAAATCATCGATTTAAGTTATTTGTTGTCATTTTTAGTAATATTTCAATTTCCTTTTGGACATAAATTACGATCTCAAATTCAGCCAGATTTTTGGGATCTTGTTTCCGTCATTAAGTATTTTCTTTTGGTATGAATAATAGGATTTTACTATCTTTGGTAAAATTTCGAAAATTATTATTTTCTAACTATTTAACCCGACTTGTGGGTTATTTTCGTTCAATTGTTGAATAATAAAGATTTTCTCGTTTTTCTTGGTGTTATTCTCTTGCGTTCTTCTCTATTATTGTCTATTAATTCCTGCCTACAGAATAATCACTATTCTATCCGGCATCACATGGTTGGCTATGGTTCTAGTGACAGTCGATGATTGGAGGCTCGACAAATTTGAACAACGAATCGAGGGGATCGATAAAACCCTTCACAACATCATGCAGATGCTGAATATGCTGAATATTGAAAGGAATCACAAGCCCGTGAAGAAACAAGCTAACAAGAATTTACAGACTTTAACTAGTATGAATGTTGGTTGTTTAATCAAGCATAGAACACGACAACATGTGGCTATCGAATTTCCTCGAGTCCCAACCAAGTTCGAATACACACAAGTTATCAAATATTATTTTCTTCAACAAAACTCGAGTTTTTTTCAAGTAGGAGAGCTTGATGTAGGAAAATTGTATTGTAAATAAATTTAAGATTAGATATTTATAATAAGATGTCTAGTTATAATAACTTTTATCTTTTCTAATATTTTGTTTAGATCTTTATTGATTAGAATATGATTTATAATTTATTTTAGATTATGATTTTAGTTTATTTCCTTTTAGAATTTTATTTCCTTATAATAATAAAATTAAGGAATAGTTCTACATATAAATTTAAAAGCATTGTACACTTTTTGATAACAATCAATTATTATTCAAATTATACAAGACATGATTATTCAAATATCGTTCTTATTTATTCCATAATTCTTATTACAAGAATTTCATAAAAGCTTCCACACCACATCTCTAGCCAACTTATATGCAAGAATTACATAAGCTTTAGAGAGAGAAAAATTCCCTATTCTTGATGGATAGAGTTTGTTGTTTAAGCATTGGAGCTATCATAATAGTCAATATTGAAGCTTGGTTAAAAGTTGGAGGTATTCTAGGAATGATTGAAAATCACCATAGGTTAAGTTCACCTTCGAATTCGGTGAGATCTTGTTGTCAACATATCTCAACTCATCTTCCATCTATGTGTACCGTGTACATTGGACATAAATGTATAAATCTTCTCATTTTTGTCGATAACTGGACATAGATCACGGAAAAGTATCGTTTTAACGCTATTGATTTAACATATGATAAACATCAACGCTACTCAATTACAATTTTATTATTATTATTGTCAAACGAAGTCTTTTGTCCCATAAAAATAAGATTGCTTTCATTTTCACACATATTATACTAAAGTAATTAAAACAGTTGAAAATATAAATTTTTCTTTCATTTTTTCAAATACACTGTTACATTAAATAATGATTTAAAATAGCAGTAATTCATACTTTTTGATAACAAGACACGTTAAATAGAAACATATTAAAAAATTAAGAAATCAACTATAATCTCAACTATAAAAGTAGCACATATTTTGGAATGACCGCAAAAAAGAAAGCAGATATATCTCTATGAGGACGGAGAGAGTATTAAATTTTCCAGCACAATAGTTGAAAGCAAGGCATAATTACATCCATCCTACTTGACATTGGCCATATACAAATGCTAAATATCGAAAATGGTGGTAGAAAATCCAATCTCATTAGTCATTTCACATTTGCATGTTAATAAATTTTTTGGCAACTCATTGACATTATTTCATACAAAATATCTTTGTTTGATAATCAAAATTAGACTCAAAACTTTCAATTTCTCTCCTCTTCTTCCTTAAATGAACTGGATCCTGAATGCTAATATAAGAAATGGCATCAAACCCACTTTTCCTAGATGCTACTATCAAAAATTGTGACTCTGATCAAAAGTTTCTTGCTCTTGACACCTGTCAGCTGCGTCATCCAACGGTCCTCTACGAAATTTGTGACCTTTCCATTATATTTATATGCTGCGTCTAATTGTACGAAGTCAATGCATCTTGCTTTTCTTGTGTTTCAACTAAGCAAATCAAGTAACCACTTTATATTCCCACCGCAACAATCTCGTCTAAGACGAGATTTTTGGCATCAATGAAGTGTGTAGTGGCACAAAATATAAATTAGTTCATGTATCTAACAATTAGGCTCTGTTTTTCGAGGAAAACAAATTCCATTTTGGCCGTTTGAACCGAATTTCAAGGTACAACCACTTTAAGTGGCATTTTTTTTTTAATTATTTTCATGAGAATTAAATTCTTATGAGTTTTTATTTTCCAACTAACATGAAATTGAAATTCTTTTCCACATTTGCCTATCAAACGGACCCTTAATAAAAAAAAAATTCCCAAGATATTCATGTGTGTACCTAGTACACGAATCATTTGCTAAATCGATCTAGAAAGTGAATATAAAAATATAATATGTTTCCAAATATTGTTCAAATTGTTATATTATATTTAAAAAAATACTTTTTTCTATCATTAGAATTTTTTTTATATATTTAAGGTAAATATGTGTAATAATTCGACATTTACGTGGAGATTTCTGTTCTTTGTTTACTCAAAATTGGCATTCGTCATGTCAACAAAGGGACGGCAAGAATTTGGGAAAATAGAAAAGGAAGTAATTTTCCAGGAAAATTGCAAAGGTCAATGAAAGAGCACAAGTTTCAAATGTTAGAATTTTTTTTGTGTATGGGGAAATGTCAAGTCTTTTTCTAGTCATTTATATATTCCATTTTTAATTTTCTTTGCATTTCATTTATTTCAATTATGAATTTAAGGCAATGAAATATAAAATAAATATTCGGATTGAGCTCGAGATCATGTTTTTTGTTCTCGTCCCATTAAGACAGAGACAAGAGATAGATTCGGCCTAGCTCCCGCCCCGTTAATTTTTATTAGTGTAAAATATATATTTTTTCTTGTATTTTTTTTTTTTTGTTTTTTTTTTTTACAAATTAGTCCAACTTGTAGTCAGATTCTGGATCCATCTCTGCATGCATGTAAAAGGCACGGAAATTTGACATTCATTTTCATACGAGGCTTTTGTTCTTAACTCCATAACACGTATAAAATCGTAGAATAATTTTAGTTGGTGAATTTCAAGGTAGAATGAGGTAGTAACTTCCTCTTCGTTTACACACGTCAAAAACAAATAGAATTCAAATACATCCAAACCTGCAAATTGCAAACACCACACACGCGGAATGGTGAAGAATGGGTCATTGGAAATGTTAAATACGGATCCTGGCTTCTAAACTCAAATCAACTCAACTCGAGATTTTCGTTCTGCAAGTCTTTTAGGCGGCTTAAAATTTAGATTATTGCCTCAAGGTGAATTCTTCAAACTTTGATGTTGCTGTTTTTTGTTTCATTTTCATCTGTTTATGCCTTCCATTTACCTTATGCTTTTACTTCAATTTGCATGTTTGCTTGTTTACGTGTCGACTTGATAGAAATTGTATTTTTTTTTCCCTCTGTTCGATGATCTTGGTTAAATAGTTTGGTGCTTTATTATGTTGTGCTTCAATTCAATTTGATGAAATGGGTTCTCATTATTAAGAATTCTTTGATCTAAGCAGCCTTCTGTAAGTCATTTGAGTCATGACTTTAGTATTCCTTTGGTGAAGAAAGTTTTTAATTGGCGTTTCTCGATGCGATTTCTAAAAATAATTCTTTTTTTACAGCTCTTGATTGTTCGGAATTGAATTCCAATTAACATGGGACTATCATGTTCATGCCCATTTTCCGCTTATAATGAATTGGAATCTGTCATTGTGAACTCACTCAACTTTGGGAACGATGGAGAGAAAACTCTGGCTCGATCTATCAGCTTCAAGGGCCAAAATCCTGAACTCACAATATCACGATCTATTGGTTCGGGGAAAATGTTGCTCGAAGTATCTGTTAGCTTTCGAAAAAGGGAACATAGCTTATTGGGTATACAAGCAGAAGGTCAATCAGGTGTTATGAAGGACAATGAGACAGTTAATCAATCGTGTGTATCAGATTACACCACGGATCAATTAGCTGGTTCTGCAGTTCTTGTTGAGCAGAGTTGGTATGTCTTTTCTTGTCGCTTGAGAAGTTTTTTATCCAGTGTTAGGATCGGTCTTAAACCATCTCATTTGAAAACTAATTGGTATATAAATTCTTGATTAATTGCAGGATGAACCTGTTAGATCTTGTAGAACTCAATTACAATTCAGTGTTATTCTTTGATCTTTTGAAGAAAGAGACTGCAATTTCACGCTGGTCGAGAGCAGGAAAGAGAGCTGCCAAAGTAAATTTGATCGAAATTGTTATCTACTTAAACCATTTCTACTTCTCTTTCAAGAATCTTACGAAATTCCTTGTTATGCAGGTTGGGAAAGGCTTATCCAAGAATGAGAAAGGTCAGAAACTCGTTTTAGAACATTGGCTTGAGGCAGTAAGTTATATGTTTCTCTCTATATGCAGTATTCCTCTTGTTTTGATATGTTATAAATGGATTAATTAATGCGCGTACAGTTTGATGTGCAACATCGCTATGGACACAATCTTCGATTATACTTCATCGACTGGTTACATTCTTCAACACAGGAACCCTTCTTCTACTGGTATGTTTTTGATATTTTCCTCACAAGTCAATAATCTTCCATTTTTGGTATCGAGAATAATACTTGTGATATCAGGTTGGATAGAGGAGAAGGGAATAATCTAAATCTTGTCGAAAAATGTCCTAGATCAAAACTTGAGAAACAGTGCATCAAATATCTTGATCCTGTATGTTCTTTCATCTCACGACCCTACGTTGTTTTTAACTCTTTTTTGTAGAATTCGTAGATTTCTTGCTCATTGTTTGGTATTCTAACAGATGGAAAGGAAGGCGTACGAAGTTATAGTGGAAGATGGGATGCTATTCTACAAGCAGAGTCGAGAAATCCTTGACACCACCGGAGAACCAAAGGGTGTCAAATGGATATTTGTACTCAGCACCTCTAAGGCATTTTTCATTGGCCCGAAAAGAAAAGGCGTATTTCATCACTCTAGTTTCTTGGCTGGGGGAGCCACATCCGCTGCAGGGAGGATAGCCGTTGAAAAAGGCGTAATTAAAGTAATATTCTTCGTTTTCGTTTATACATACTTTCCTACAATTATACACAACGCTTCACGGTTAAATACATGTTCCCATTTCATAATTTGACAGGCAGTCTCGCCTCACAGCGGCCATTATCGACCAACTAAAGAAAATTTCCAGGACTTTCTATCTTATCTTATGGAGAACAATGTGGATGTTACAGAAATTAAGGTACAGTAACATTGAAAACTCATGGTTAGCTTAATAATAGCTTACTCATAAACAGATGTGTACTTCAATGTAGAACAAAAGTTCATGAAAATTACTTTCATGGTGTTATAGAAATCTGTGGATGAAGAAGAAGCACTTGGGCCAAAGGGTGGTCTTTTGTTGAGAAATAACTCATTCGATAACTTTCCTGACGATATATTGGTGATACAAGACGCAGACATAGAAGACTCGACTGTAGAGATACTTGCTACTACTTCAGCAGAATCATCTTCCCCAAAGCCTTCCCAGAACTCGATCAATCTTCAAACACGAAGGGAAGATGATTTGTTGGACAGAATATTGGGCAGAGATCAAACAGTCGAATCAAAGAACTATGGCTTCGTGCTAGAATCTATGCACGATGAATTAAAGCAGCAGAAAAATAAATTTCTGTGAAACAGGATTACCAGTACTAAGTAGGGCGAAGAACTCGATTTTCTTCATTGATTTATTCTCGTATGTGAACATTGGAAACAAATAGGAATTGTTAAATAAGTACCTAAGTTGTATTTTTAATTTTTTATTTGCACAGAAATTCTTCCTGAGGCGTACATAAGCAGGAAATCCTGTAAACAGCCGGAGAATTTAATAAATGACAGAACATTGCAATATTTGACAGCAAAATGCTTGTATTGATTGTACAGTGCTATTCAATACTACTGCATACTAAAGATAGACCATATTCAGACAATGAGTGTCTTTACTTCATTAAATTCAACTGCTAGTACGTACACTGTACGTTTTGCGTTACAATCTTCGTTCAGTCAAGAAAGAAAAAACACAATGAAATGCCTATTTTCTAAGAATTGAGGAAATATGATATTGAAATTTATGGATAGCACGAGAAAGAAACTTTTATTTAACAACATACCATCAGTTTGGATAATCACAGATCGTTATCTGCAACTGAGATTCAATCACATATTGTTTCACAAAAGACCTTCTCCACCAAATTTCAAACGCCCTCTTAATATTCGGACAATCATCACCTCTGTTGAGGAATCTATCGAACCAGTTAAGCAAAATCGACTGCTGTTGAGGTAACGGCAGGGTAAGAATTGTCTGACTTAGTCCCTCCTCAACCAATTTTTTGTCAACCGCTCTAGAAGCCTGTCTCATCCATCTAAAATCCTCATAAAGCGCTTCCAACCAGGTTGAGAGCAGAGAAAACCTCGTCTCCTTTGGTGCTAGAATATGTCCTCTTCCAATAGCAATACATAGTTGTGCAGTGATCTTGCTTATTTCGTGGCGATACATTGTGGGGATCTTCGAGTGAAGAATAGCGACCTCCTTCTGGTCGGCCCATAACTTTACAAATTCATCACCCATTTTTCTGTCGACCAAGATATCAACTACCCACTGAATGTTATCAGCTTCTCGGGCAATCTCACCCATTAAAATCCCTCGATCTCGAGTGCTTTCATCTAAGCAAGCAGCTTCAGATAAGCAGAGGACAAGAGAACTAAGACATCTATGGCAAACATGATATAGTGTGTCCCTTGAGATATCAGGCTTGTCTACAGTCTCTTCTCTAAGCAATTGAGATATCAATAATTTCATTTCTCTTCGGGCTTTATCATTTTTGGCCTGCAACATACCATTCGACAATTTCAAGAATATATCATCGGCTCTTGAAGAAGTTGACGGCTCGGCTATTACTCTCTGAAGCACGTCGTCCGTCCTTGAGCCATCAAGCTGAAGTTGATTGAGATGTGACACCACTCTTTCCTCTTCTTTCTCAGACCAAGGTACCGCTTCTAGATACTCAAGACATGCGATTATCCCATCATCAAATAAGAAGGCTGAAAACACCTGAAAATGCAGAGGAACTCTAATCTTAGAGAAGACTTAGTGCATGCTTGGTACAAAGCATTGAATTGTACTCGACAGGCCTAATTATCCTCAAATTCATTTAATTACTGACACATGTACTAGTACACCCTTCGTTTGTTGCTGTTTACCCCATTAAATCAATTCTTTTCTATACTTGACTCTCATTATTCGCTAAATACGAGCACAATACAGCTTTCTACACAATCGAGTTGATCAGAATTCGCCCCAGGGAAAGAGACAAATACCAGATGATATCCAAGGCCATCAATATACTACAAAATTGTCTCAGATTGTCAAGCAAGGCCTAGTTACTCTTCCACTCCGACTTTGGTTATATTTTTCAATAACTCTTGGGGTTCATCATGTAGACAAAATTATCATTTTCTGCTATTGAAAACACCAAATTACACAGTTAAAAGAAAACAACAACAGAACATTTCCAAGAAAAGGGCAAATCAAATTCTTTTCATAGCAAAAATTCATGTACTTTTTTTGTTTTGCTGATAGACTAGATTGCTTCATCAAAAAATACCCAAATAAACTACAATTTATAAAGAAACAGAAAAGGGAGAATCTAAGAACAGTTAAGCAATAATAGATAAAGAGAGAGAAACCTTTAAGAGGGCCAAGATCTTGGAAACCTCCATACCCATGAGCTTAGTCTTCAAATTCTCGCAGTATATAAGTACCACTGCATGCACATATACCTCCACGTCATCACATTCAAGGATTTCGACGGAATGGGTCCCACTTCGCCGGAGCTTCTCTGCAAAGAACCGACTTTTTGCGGCGAGCACCCTCCTGTGCAAGTCCATCGACACACGGAACGCCGTCGTCTCCCCACCTCCCTCCGGCTCCCCCTCCCGGGCCGCTATAGTCAGCCTGACGTCACCCGTCCCCCAATCATTGTCACTATTCACGTTATGAAATGGGGATTGGAACAATATTGCAGAAATCCTTTCTCTGAGCTTCTTGTGGGCTTCGGATGGCGGTTTGGGCTCTCGGGCATGTTCGAGGGACATCATCTCGAAGAGGGTCGGGCTCTGATTCGGATTCGGCGAGCGGGTCGGGCTAGGGACGGGCCGGAAAGTTGGCGGAGGAGAGAGAAAGGGGTCAGAAATGAAGCCTTGCTTTATCATTGTGGAGACGAGTTGTTGTTGATTTCTTGAAGGTGATTTATGGTGGGTGTTGCTATCAGAAGCCATTAAATTGATCTGAATTGATGTCAGATGTGAGTTTGCGTGTGTGATAGAGTGTGTGTCTGGGAATCCAAGAAAATAATGCAAGAAGGCAATGTTGGATCTGAACTATTTTTAGGGACAGAGAGTGAAGTGCGTCTGTCCGGTTGGGATGAGGTGGTGTATTGGCCTAGGGCGTAGGGTTTAGGAACAAAGTGGGTAGTATGGGGTAGGGTTGGTGAGGGTAGGGACAAAGGAAAGACTATCAAGTGCAAGGTTGGGCATGATCGGATTTGATTCGAACAATAAGTTTCGAATATTTAGTAAATGAAAAGTCGAATTCAAATTTAACTATGAAACCATTCGAGTTCAGTTTCATTTGGTTCGATTCGATTCTATTCGGTTCTCGGGTTCCCTACAATAATTTTTTTTTTTTTAAATATTACAACAACGCTACATTAATTCGACTATGACATGTTCAATCGTAACTATTACAAAATAACTTAGTCCAATTTCATAATATATTTTTCACCTTTCTTTGTTGAGTTCTTCATACATTTGACTGTTAAAATTATAGGAAGAGAAAGATGGCGAGTTCACAATAATAGAATGACAGAACGACACTACGGTAGAATAAAAAATTTGGGTAAAACTTAGGTCAATTTGATTAAGTTGTGCTTGGCTAGAAATCAGGGGTTTAGACTAAACTAATTAGTTAGCTAATGTATTTTAAAAAAATAAAATAATTTGACTTATTTAAGATAAAAAAAAAATTAGGAAGATTTGGTTCTTCGATTCTTAGTCTAAAACAGAAAATTGAATCAAATCCATTAGTTCTCAATTCAGATATTAGTTTAGGTATTTAATTTAAAAAGAATCGCTCGATTCAACTCAGTTCAGTTTGGATCCAGTACGATCTGATTCTATTTGGGAGTTTTGTCCAGCCCTAATCAAAAGTTAGTTTGAGCCCATAATAAATTTTGCAATATTTATTTTTTTGGAGGTTCCAGAATATAATTAAAATTATTTTATTAAAAAAATGTATGATTGAAAATGAATTTTTATGGACTGTGACTTAAACATGGGCTAAGACTTGGTTCTGTGCTAAAAGGTCTTAATCTTATTTATCCTCTAATAAGTTCCACAATAAGATACGGTGGCTCAATTGAGTAAATTATTCTTGAAATCTGTTGACCCCAAAAAATGTTGCCAACAAATGTCGGGCCTCACTCGTGCACACGCAAGCTTGATCCAACACGCTAATGCCGATCAACGGTCAAGATGGCTCTAGAAAATGGGCGCGGGAGTGGCTCAAAGGCACGAGACGTTTCCGTTCAGGCTTCCGGCAAGAAAAATATAACACAATTGTATAAGAAACCAATCGATAAAGAACAATTTGTAGTAGAAAATATGCTGTAGGGATCACTGTTGAAACGGGAGAAATGTTGCTCCAAATATTTAGTTTTTCCTTCAGAATTGCATTAGTCCCTATTGTGTTACATGATGTGGGTATTTATAGTGTTACAACTCAAATGGTGACATTTAGATCAATTTACACGTGGCCCCATCTCCTCGGCCAAGACATCAAGTCCTAGCCATCAAGTTGACTCCCCTAACCTTACAAAACATTAAATGTTCTTACATTGACAAGACAAGACATAAGCAAACTTTACACAAGCGTCACATCAATCATTTGTTGAAGATTTTCATCATGAGCGAATCCTCGCAAGTGGGCCTTTAATGAGCCTCGGACGTTAGCAGCAGGGGCGTCAGAGTACTAGTGAGGGCNAAGAGGTAGCAATTACATGTTAGTCTATATTTCAATAATTAGCCTTTGTGAAATTTGTATCTCAATAGTAAGTGTGGTCGAGGTGGCCTTCACTTTCCCTAGGATTGAATTCAATGCGAAAAGCCTTTGCTAAGCAAGTCACTTCATTGCATTTGGTGAGTCGGGTTGTCAAAGAAGCGACGATGAAGACTGATCGGGATCGGAACTGGAGTCTCACAAAGGATTTAATAGTTCCGTTATTATATATTTAGTCACATGTGATTAAATCTCACATAAAAGATAGGACACCACAAATTGGATCTTGCGAATTAAAATATATCTATTTAACTTACTTAGATTCTTGTTTCAAAAATGCTACTTGTACACATTTGGTACACAACCCTCTCACATGTGTGTAGAGTCTACAATAGGTCCCACACACACGTGTACCAAGGTGTAGCAAGGTTCTTGTTTTTGGGCATAGCGTTTTGTCGGAGCAAAGAATGCAGTGAGTAGCGTGTGTTGGTTGGTAAACGTAGGGGTAATTAGGTTTAACTAAGGGCACAAAAATATATGTAAAACGGCACATTAATTAAGTAAAAAAAGGCTGGAGATATTATTGTGGACACGAAGATGTGACTTGTGAGCCAGCAAATAATTAGACAGGTTGAGGTGGTTTTCTTTTGCTTTTTTTTTTAAATTTTTTTATTTTTTTGGCTAAATTTGGTGGTAGGTGAGGGCTGGGCTGGGAATTTCATATAATATGTTGCCACTCTCTTGAGCTTAATGTTGATGTAGGATCCATCTATTTAGAGTAAAATATTATGCAATTTCGAAGGACCGTATGATATGAACATCGTTTTGTTAGAGTCTAACTACTACAACACAATAATGACAGGAAAAATCCATCAATCTCTACTTTTGATGAAATTCTTTTGTTTCGATTTCCTCCTTACCGGCATCATTTACCGCCATTCGTTGTCATTTTATACAGTGCAAGGCGAATGGTGTCTTAGCCTCTAATATTCTTTTGCACTTTCAAGATAGTTTGTGATTAGGCGAACGATTAAACTTGTTGCATCCTAATAATTAACAAATGTCAAAGGCTATAGAAGTTGAAACATTAAACTACACACACATATATATATAAGAATTCATTACAGAAATTCCATCTACATTATAATAAAGAAGTGGAAAAATCGATTTTCGCAAACATGACCACGATCACCTTCAACATAAATTACAAAGGTGCAACGCTGCGCAAACAGGCTGAAATCTAAGCCTCCATGAATAGAACTTTTATGGTCTTGTCAAACTTCCTGATCAAAATATGCTAGTGTCAAAGTTCATAAGCCAGTAAAATGATCTGTACATGTTTGGGACTTAGTATTTTACTTTCAAATCTAGTACTATCCAATACTGTCAGAAATGGGGGAGTATGAAATACCGTATACGAATAAAGAAGTAGAAGAACGCACCTTTTAAAAAACATTTGTTTGTAAAGCCTCTATTAATGCAGGGTCAACACATTTTTTTCTCTACTCATTTGTGCCAAAGAGAGTGGCATCAACTAAATCAACAGATTGTACCTATGTGGAATCTTATAGCCAAATATGGGTCTATTACTAACAACTAAATACAATGACACCGTCGATAATGGTGGCAAGGCGGATTTACCCATAACTTCTAAATTCAACTGAGATGTATTCCTTAAAGAAGACCTCAAATTAGAATCCAATGGTATAGAATCTAACTCTAAATTCACCCGAGTTCTTAAAATATGTCGATTGCTGAAAGATTTTATATAACACTACAAGATATATAAATGGGATTTTCTATGTTCATTTAACAAAACACGCTCATTTACTGATCTTCAGAACTCTACCTTCAACAGTATACATGTACCCTTTTGAATCAAGAATGCTTAAGGAGATAAGATTTCTCTTTAGATCTGGAACGTGTCTCAGTGCATCGAGTGTTCTAACCGTCTCATCAAATATCTTTATTCTAACTCGACCAATACCAGCTATCTGACATAGTGTATTATTACCAGTGATAACAACACCCTTTGAAACTTCTTCATATTTTGAAAACAAATCCCGATTATGGGTCATATGAAAAGTGCAAGTTGTATCAAAAATTCAAGCTTCGTCAAGTTTGGAATTGTAGTCAGACATAAGTAAAGCTCTCCATTACGGTCAGGATTTTCTGTAATACTTGCTTCCTCTGAAATTTCTTATTATTGATTTGCGGTCAATTTTGATTTATTCTTCAACTTATGATAGTCGTTTATCAAGTGCCCTTTTTTTTTTTTTTGCAATAATTATAAAATTTGAAGTTAGATTTTGACTTGCCTCTTGAACGACCACCGTCAACAACGACGTCATCTCTATGACCCTCACATGCTAAAAAATACTTCATCTTCATGTTCTCCTTTGAATATAGAGTATCATAGACTTCTTCGATGGTGAAAGTATCATGACTATATAAGATCATTGATAAGTGCATTTTTGTGCACTTATTCGGGGACATTTTACTAAGATTTTGTGTCGTTTTATTATTATATTTTACTTAACCTAGATTATTTTTATCTTATTTCAGTTTGGGACTTGTTTCGAAGCTATTGGAAAAGAAAGAAGGATACATGAGTTAATTGATGAATTTTTTGGGGACCAACATGCATTTGGGGAAAAGTTGAAGCATTACAATTGAAGTAATTTGATGAGGAAGACCAAAATGAAAGAAAGAATGAAGAAAATGGCGGAAATGAAAAGTGGTGAAAATTTTGCCTGGGCAACCTCCCATATATTTTGCCTGGGCGGCCGCCCAATTTGAAAATCATCAACAAAAGCAAAAGATTTAGCCTGGACGATAGTCTCATTTTGTACTGGACGCTCGCCCAGGCCATTTCGGGAAAAAAATTCAGGTTTCCTAATTCGACTACAACTCTTATGGAAACAAATCTTGAGAGGTATTTTAAAACCCTAGGACCGTCCAAAAAAAGGGGGGAGACATTACAACACAAAGAAAACCCTATAATACATCAAGAAGAAGATTATTGGGCAAGGATTTCACATTAAAACTACAAGAATTCTTGGATTTGAAGCAAAACTGTGATTTTGGTGATATCTTCTCTTACTTTAATTTTGTATTTTCTTAATTTCTCCATGTTATGCTAGATCTATTTGTACTAAGAGATCGATGAACTTTACTATGTAACTTTGGATTTTAGTTTTACAATTATTGGCAATTAAAACAT